TTCCTCCAAAATACCAACGGAAAAAAACGAAAAAAATCCGAACTGATGAAGCAACTATCTCATGTCGTTGCAGGACTAAGCGAAAGCAAGATCTGAGATAACTTAAAGCAGTAGTTCCAAGGGTGCTAACAACTGGGAATAAGTAATCTTATTTGAAGGAGACAAGAGTAAACATCTTACCTCCTCTTAGCTTTAGGAGGAGGCATTGGAAGAACAAAAAGTACATCGCAAACCAGGTTTACATCGATGAAAGAGGCGATGATATCTCTTCGTAGTGCAGGAATGATACAAGAGTAAGAAGATTGAAAGAGGTACTAGATGGACTACATGTGGTTCAATCTAGTAAACAGATTGGCTTAGCAGAAGATACCATGAACTCGCTCGATAAGAGTATTTGGAGATACCAGTACGCGGTACCAAGCTACGTGTTTTCATGGTCTTGATGCTTTTTGCAACAGGTCCTTGCACTGGATCATTGGATTGGCATTGGTTGGACCACGTGTCCAAACAAGCGTTACACGAGTTGAACTTGTTACTCAGGCTATATGGCTAATAGATTCAACTCCTTGTGGATGATCTCGTTCATTAGAGATAACCCTGAGTGGAAGAGTCCTGTAGAAAAACATAGACAACGGTGTCTTGGAGAAATTGATCAGAACTGTTATGAAAAGTTGATGTACCTGCCTACTGGTACGCCAAAAGGGACCTATGTGACTGGGTGGATGTGTCAGTGGACCCCTCCCCCTCAGCATTAGCTCGCATGATTCAGCAGAAACCGAATCCAATGTACCAGAGATTGATACGATTCCTATTTCCTGCCAGCTGACTCATGCAACACAAATCCATGGCCTCGAGTCCAATAAGACAAAGTTTTTTTCCCTCAAGCAGTCACCAATGGCCTCCCAGGCTGCATAGTGTTTTATGCTTGAAGATGACCCACAGTGCAATAGGGTCCATCAGATTGTCAAGTACTGTGTATCTTTTGGAAATTGCCACAACCAATCTCAGTGCACCCATCCTTCTTTCAGGCAAAACACCCTTGGATAGTCAGTAGGTGGAAGGAAGATTTTAAAGTGGGCCTGCAAGATAACCACAACCATTCTATGATTTTCATGACAGAACTTGGCAGTATGCAGTTCTAGAGGTTCCCCTACCTAGTGCTAACAAGGATATGGTTGATTTCTTTGGCTGCATTACCTGCAATAATGTTTGAGGTCCAGAAGTACAGGCTGGGGCACTGGCAGCTGGAGTCGGCAATCTTGAAACTCTAGGATTTGACAAAATGCTGGAGAAGGATGCTGTTTACATTAATGGTATGGGCTCTGAAACCGTGAAGCTGATGCATATCTCAAAGCCAGTCCAGTCATAACTGGATACACACTGAAGTCACGAAATAACTGCCAGAGAAGCTAATATGGTATAGGCCATCTTTTTCATGTTAAGTTTACATGTGTTGGTTAGACCATACACAACAATAAGACATGAAGCCAAACAAAGAATTCAGAATCAGACCCATTGTACTCTGATTGACTGGAGCTACCTCCACTAAAGAGGGCTGGAGTCTACTAGAGATGGCTATGGATACCTCTTTTAAATAATGACCATCATTGCAATGCAGCCATTATAAAGTGTAGCCACCCTAACTGATCTTGTTACTGTCAGTCTAGCTTACCACTAGTCTAAAGTCTCCACTCTGGCATCCATGCAGGGTTCCCAATGTCTTTACTCTTTATGCCCCAATACAGGATTGAAACACCTCTACAGTTGCCCTCCCCTTGGGACCAACAACTTGATTAGTTTGCTTGGTAGGTGAGATTTTGAGCCCTCTCTATCATTCTCCATGAATGCCATGATGCTAGTTGGTCACTTTGCAAGGGAATAAGGCAGGGACCATCTCTCCCCCCCAAAAAAAAAAAAAAAAAAAAGATTCCAGGAGGCTGGGGCTTCAAGTTAGCATGGAATCACTTTGTGTCTGAACACTTGGAGGCATGGATCCATATATCTAGGGTTTCCTGCAACTCTGTGGTGGAAATAAGGAGAACACTGTAGGACAGAATGTTAGTGAACAGGGTATAGAGGGGGAGCAGATGGAATATAGTGGGGATTTGAAAAAGGATGTGGTTAAAGGTATAGGATGATCAGATCAGATGGAGAGGATGTGTTTGAGGAAGGAAGAAAACACTGTATGAGAAAAACGTAAAAGAGCTACTATGAAACAATCAAATGGTAAGAAACGATAGTGGTGGAAGTAGGAAAAGAATCCTGAGAATGAAGTAAGGGAACATTGGAAGGTGGTGAAGTATAGGGAAGAATGCCAGGTGAGGAGGGATCCACAGAAGGACATTGTTTTGACTTTAAGGAGTCACATGAGCATCTAAGTGGGGATGGTAAAGATAATGGGGAAGGTAGAGGGAATGGTGATGCAGATGAAGGAGGAAAGAATAGTATTTTTTTTTGGGGTGAGTGGGTGGAAAAGGGGTAGGAGGAACTTGAGGAGGAGGAGGAGGATGGATATCAGCAGATACTTTAAATGTAGAGTGAATAAAGGGATTGGAGGATGGATGAGGGAGTGGATCGTTCTCTAGTTGTGTTTATGATTTTTTAGATATCTTCAAGAGTTTCTGGAGGGGAGTTGGGTGCGGAGGTCTGAAGTCTGAGGCCTAGTTTGAATCTCAGAACTGCTACATCAGATTCGAGCTTGTAGGCAGAGCAGCTACTATAAAATACATTATGGGAGCCACCACAATTGTCACATGTGACTGAGCAGAGCAACTGATCAGTCATGACCAGGTTGGGCACATAGAGGGCAGCTGGTTGTGGAGCAACATTGTTTGGCTGGGTGGCCAAAACACCAATATTTCTGACAGGGAAGAGGTCGATATGGTTGGACGGGAGGACACTCCACCAATATTAACTTCATGGTGGAGGTCATGTCTATGAAAGCTAATCTTGGCAATATTGGTGTAGGACTTACATTGACTTCTGGGAGGAATAATGTAGCACAGGACTGCCTCTGCATCACAGTCGATAAGGCATGTGAGCAAGTCGTTTTCACAGTCTGACCAGTCCTTGTAGACAGGATAGTCAGTTGGAGAGATGGAAACAGTTCCGGAACAAGTATTAAGGGAGGAGTGAGGTTAGGCAGGAATAGATTTACCAGTGAGGTCAGTCAGGGTAGATAGTACATGAGCATGGGACTCAGATGTAATTGTGACAGGGCATGAACGATAAGAATGACTGCAGAAGGAAACTTTGCCTACTTGTTTCAGGAGATATTGTTGGAAGAGAAGGGTATTTTCAGAGTGTGGGGCTGTAGTGGCAATCAAAGAATTGATCTCACTTGGCTGAGCCAAAAAGGGTACTCAAAAGGTTTATAGAGGTGGAAGCAGTAGAAGGATGGGGGGAGAGGAAGATGGGGTGGTATGGAAAGAGGACAATAAGGATGAAGAGTAGCAATAAGGGGAGTGGGGGTAGACAATGAAGAAGACTGCAGAAGATGAAGTGGAAGATATTGGGAGAGAGATTTGGAATGAATAGAGTTGCCAGCAAACATCGATCAGTTGGAGCCAAAGGAGAGGGAGGGGTCAAGAAAACAATGAAATTAAATTTAGATAGGCTAATTGATAAAAAGGGTCAGCTTTAATGGCTCTAATAAGGGTAAAAAATCTTTATTATTGGCCATGGTGAGCCTGAAATAAATGGGGAGAAGAGACGGTCTACCCCTCTGGGCCCCCATGAGGGGTAAGGGCTAGACAATGAACCAGGGGAATACCATACCCATGGCTCCCGGAGGCCGTTCATGGCTGGCACAAAGCCAGCCTTTCATCCTTTCAGCATGGCTCTCATACCATAGGAAATGGACAGAAGGGGATGATGAAGAAGAGAAGGAATGAAAAAGGGGAGAAGAAAAGATCATGCAAAATTAGTTGAGGTGAGGGCTAGGTGTGATCCCCTACTTTGGACCCCAGTCTTCGTCTCCTAAGCCCCCCACAACAACAAGAAGCAAGGGATTAGGGTGGGGGGGACACTCTGCAAGAAGATATGGAACACTTACCACGAACTTAAAGTAAGCCTCACCATAGCATCACATTACCTTAAATATGAAGCACCCAGCTATTAAGATATGTAGTTTGTCATTGATAACCTGATGGGTCTGGTGTACTGGCTTTTACAGTTGTGATTAACATTTTTGAGATGTTTATTTGCAGTAATCCAGTCCTTGGATAAACCCCTCTCTTCATTAGTAATACCTGTCAGTTTTTAACTCCAAAGGGTGATCATTTTGTAATTTGAAGAAATGTATCAGCTAAGTCTTCATATAAAACAAATAACTTTAGAGATGAGCTTAGCTTTGAGGTTTGATGGTATCATAAGTAAAAGTCTCTGGTACCTTTAGAGTTTATTGGAAAAATATTTCTGGATATTTAACAGAGTCAACACAACAAGAAAATGGGAATATATGAACCTGAATATGCATGTCTTCAAGAAACCAAATATAAAATACTTAAACCCAAATCAAAACCCTTATCATGACTAGAAAACTTATTCTTATTCTTTTTAGTATAAGACCACATACACATATGCTATTCTAACTCAGGGTATTATGTGGCAGTTTAGTTTTATTTAGAATAAGCCCTTTGCAGGTGAGTATTCCTTTGCAATGTATGTGTGTGTGTGTGTGTATATATATATATATATATATATATATATATATATATATACATATATATATATATATATATATATATATATATATATATATATATATATATATACATATATATATATATATATATATATATATATATATATATATATATATATATATATATATATATATATATATATATATATATATATACATGTATATATATACATTATATATATACATTATATATATATATATATATATATATATATATATATACATATATATATATACATTATATATATATATATATATACATATATATATATATATATATATATATATATATGTATATAAATATAAATATATACGTACATAAATATAAATAAAAGAAGGCAATATCATTTCAAAATGCAGACTGGATAGGAAGATCCTACCACACTTAACACTTTATGGTTGTGACCACCTGAGAGCTTCAAGGAGGTGGAGGAACAGGGGCATCCCTATGACCCCTAAAGTATGACCACAGAACATGAGAATCCGCTGTCCCTAGAAATATGATCACAGAGCAAGAGAATTCATTGTTCCAGCAACTGGTATTCATCATTTATCATATCTAAACCTTATGTTGCTTCCACATCTATAGTTTCTACTGTTTTGTACGATGTTCACGGACGCACTTTGTTGTACAAAACTTATAGTCATTGTACTCGAAGGGCACCATGCCTGTGATGTCCTTCCCACACATGAAGCAGCGTTGCTTTGGTGTGCTTGGGACAGCACCAGTGTTCTGTTGCTGTTGCAGGAATCGCTTCTCAGCTGCCAAAGCTCTCTGAAAGGTTGTGGAGTTGAGACTTTATTTCATTGCTAATAAAATCATTTGAGGATATGAAAGTCTACTGTTTAAAGGAAAAAAAAAGATCTATACAGCGGCACTGTGTGAAGATCAAAAAGGATCTACTCTTGACAAACACACCTTTATAGTTGAGTTGTAATTTCAACCTATTGGTACATGCACTGTCCACTTTATTTTGTCTACATATAGATGGGGCCATAAGTGTTTAGTCACCAACGAGTCAATTAATATACCTACCTGGCCCTGCCTGATTACCCCATTCCTTTCTTTCTATCTCTCTAATGCTACTTTTGCTGTTGCTGTTATCATAATCATTAATGACATTATGATTATCATGATGTTATTTACAGTACAAACAGTAATCTTTCTGACAATCAAGAAAAGGGTAACAAGTAAATTCAGGTAGGCATAATGACAGAATCCTTGTTGGGAAAGTATATCTTGAGTCATTAATGTGTAAACAAACTTCATTAATTTTATATCTACCTTTCTGACACCAACAAGATAACAGGATTCCTAAGCAAACTCTTACACATTTGCTTTACTTTGCACATGATAACTTCTAAATCATGATAACTTCTAAATCATTAAAAAAAACAACTCTTACTCCTCTTTTAGAAATATATGGGGTTTCTCAAAAATATTTAAAAGTTACAGAAGAAATATATACTTTAAAAAGTGCCTGATGCTACAAAATCCATAGAACACACAAACCAGGTCGGTAGTTATTAGATTTGGCTGCTAACAAGCTATATTGTCCAATTCTACCATATCTGTACCTTAATTATTATTCACTGAAAGTGGTTTTCCTCTGTACATGGTTTTAATGATGATTCTCTACATCCAACATGACTATAAAGTTATATTTATATCACTATATTTTTCCCTGAATCTATATATCATTCTATCTACTTTTTTTCCATTTTGCCACTTATGTAGTGCAAGCTCACAACTCAAGACCTCTATTCTGCCCATTTAGACCATCAAATTTCCACCATACTGTATTCAACACAACTCCATTATCATGTGTTCAATGTGTTTTCATTAAGACATAGTAAACATATTCAGCAAATCTACATGAGTATGTCTTTTGCATATTTCTGTTGAAAATCATGATAAATTCAATACATTTTCATGACAAAGAATTCACTGCACACCCATTATGACTTATCTTCAACATGGTATATATGCATTCTGATATCCAAGCCAATATGCTTCATTTTTTTACAGTTTCTCTTGAACACTTTTTACAAATCTAGCAATAACACATTGAACAAGAGCAATAATACAGTATCCATGTACTGCACATATATTTATGTAACAGAATTAAATGTTTGTATACATTTTACACACCCACCAGTATTTTACCCATGACCTGAAAAGCTTTTAGTTGGTTCAAAAATTAGTTCTCAAAGAGGTATCTATTTTGATGTTATTTGTGTAACTTATGGCAGTATATGCTAGGAATAGAGATGTCTCATGTGCGTGAGAGACACAAAGTTTTGGAACTGCACATTCAGATAGTTGTGAGATTGCACTGTGTATGTTGGACCTGTATGAGGATAGTTTGAACTTTAATCTATTATTTTATTGTATGTGTTGCAGACCTCCACTGCATTTTGAACTTTAATCGATTATTTTATTGTATGTGTTGCAGACCTCCACTGCAGTTTAAGTCATGCATTACCTGACCATGAATAAGATTTTGCTCTGAGCCAAGCAATGGTGTGAGGAACAATAAGAAACAAGGGTAAAAACCAAGAACTTAAAGCAAGCCTGGTAAAACTATATGGTCACAAAAAGATAACTCTTCCTAAATCAATAAAGAAGGGAGACAGTATTTTGATGCTTTAATTTCTTATGCCCCAAAACATCACCTATGAGTTCAGCTGTCAGAATAGTAGCTAAAACATCTGTGAAGAATGAAAATATATACATTCTTCCTGTCGACTTTCCGTGAAAAATATTTTTTCTTCCTGTTGACTTTTGTTGTTTTTTTGAAGTTCCTTTCTCTTTCTCTTTTTATCCATGTACTACTCTTTTAAATACAAATGATATCAGTGTCTGAAGGCTATTAGCTAATATCATTCATTCAAATAATCAGTGATGAAACTTGATTTCCTACAATGCAGAAAATAACAAAAACAGAGAATGCAAACATAAGCAAAAGCAGCAGATGAGAAGAGCGACAGAAAAAAATACCACCATGTACCTTCTCTCTGTCACTTAATTTGAGAAATCTTTTTTTCTCTTCTCTTTCTCTCTCTCTCTCTCTCTCTCTCTCTCTCTCTCTCTCTCTCTCTCTCTCTCTCTCTCTCTCTCTCTCTCTCTCTCTCTCTCTCTCTCTCTCTCTCTCTCTCTCTCTCTCTCTCTCTCTCTCTCTCTCTCTCTCTCTCTCTCTCTCTCTCTCTCTCTCTCTCTCTCTCTCTCTCTCTCTCTCTCTCTCTCTCTCTCTCTCTCTCTCTCTCTCTCTCTCTCTCTCTCTCTCTCTCTCTCTCTCTCTCTCTCTCTCTCTCTCTCTCTCTCTCTCTCTCTCTCTCTCTCTCTCTCTCTCTCTCTCTCTCTCTCTCTCTCTCTCTCTCTCTCTCTCTCTCTCTCTCTCTCTCTCTCTCTCTCTCTCTCTCTCTCTCTCTCTCTCTCTCTCTCTCTCTCTCTCTCTCTCTCTCTCTCTCTCTCTCTCTCTCTCTCTCTCTCTCTCTCTCTCTCTCTCTCTCTCTCTCTCTCTCTCTCTCTCTCTCTCTCTCTCTCTCTCTCTCTCTCTCTCTCTCTCTCTCTCTCTCTCTCTCTCTCTCTCTCTCTCTCTCTCTCTCTCTCTCTCTCTCTCTCTCTCTCTCTCTCTCTCTCTCTCTCTCTCTCTCTCTCTCTCTCTCTCTCTCTCTCTCTCTCTCTCTCTCTCTCTCTCTCTCTCTCTCTCTCTCTCTCTCTCTCTCTCTCTCTCTCTCTCTCTCTCTCTCTCTCTCTCTCTCTCTCTCTCTCTCTCTCTCTCTCTCTCTCTCTCTCTCTCTCTCTCTCTCTCTCTCTCTCTCTCTCTCTCTCTCTCTCTCTCTCTCTCTCTCTCTCTCTCTCTCTCTCTCTCTCTCTCTCTCTCTCTCTCTCTCTCTCTCTCTCTCTCTCTCTCTCTCTCTCTCTCTCTCTCTCTCTCTCTCTCTCTCTCTCTCTCTCTCTCTCTCTCTCTCTCTCTCTCTCTCTCTCTCTCTCTCTCTCTCTCTCTCTCTCTCTCTCTCTCTCTCTCTCTCTCTCTCTCTCTCTCTCTCTCTCTCTCTCTCTCTCTCTCTCTCTCTCTCTCTCTCTCTCTCTCTCTCTCTCTCTCTCTCTCTCTCTCTCTCTCTCTCTCTCTCTCTCTCTCTCTCTCTCTCTCTCTCTCTCTCTCTCTCTCTCTCTCTCTCTCTCTCTCTCTCTCTCTCTCTCTCTCTCTCTCTCTCTCTCTCTCTCTCTCTCTCTCTCTCTCTCTCTCTCTCTCTCTCTCTCTCTCTCTCTCTCTCTCTCTCTCTCTCTCTCTCTCTCTCTCTCTCTCTCTCTCTCTCTCTCTCTCTCTCTCTCTCTCTCTCTCTCTCTCTCTCTCTCTCTCTCTCTCTCTCTCTCTCTCTCTCTCTCTCTCTCTCTCTCTCTCTCTCTCTCTCTCTCTCTCTCTCTCTCTCTCTCTCTCTCTCTCTCTCTCTCTCTCTCTCTCTCTCTCTCTCTCTCTCTCTCTCTCTCTCTCTCTCTCTCTCTCTCTCTCTCTCTCTCTCTCTCTCTCTCTCTCTCTCTCTCTCTCTCTCTCTCTCTCTCTCTCTCTCTCTCTCTCTCTCTCTCTCTCTCTCTCTCTCTCTCTCTCTCTCTCTCTCTCTCTCTCTCTCTCTCTCTCTCTCTCTCTCTCTCTCTCTCTCTCTCTCTCTCTCTCTCTCTCTCTCTCTCTCTCTCTCTCTCTCTCTCTCTCTCTCTCTCTCTCTCTCTCTCTCTCTCTCTCTCTCTCTCTCTCTCTCTCTCTCTCTCTCTCTCTCTCTCGGAAAAGATTTAAACATTTTAGACTTGTCTGAGCAAAGTTAGGTATGGTTCTGTTAGCTTAACTTTAGGAGAGTTAGGAGAGGATAATTCAGATTAGTTTAAATTAGGCTTTGCTAAGTCAGGTTATATCAGTTTATGTTATGTTGGCTTTGATTATTGTATGTTAGGTTTCATTACTTTAGGTTAAGTTCCACTATCTTAATCCCTTCATATCTTCATAGAGTCTGATGCAATGTGCATCAAAGTGATAACTTGTACTGGTTTAATTTTCAGTTACATTAATTTTCATTTAAATAGGTTTAGTTAGCTTAGCTTTTGCTAGGTTTAGTTCAGCTAGGTTAAATTAGGTTATAAATTCCAAAATTGGAATTCTAGTCTCACAAGGCATATAAAACAGGAATTCCCATTTCATCTTTGCTGTAGCGTAAACTTGACCATCCTAACGGGATTCTTAAAAATAACCCTTCAACACATATTTCCAGTCATGTTTCAAATTCAAATTCATAGTTATTGAGCCAAAAGATCAAAATAAATAAGAATCATATACAATGTTTTCAATCTTACCTGCTTATAGTCATACTTCTTAGGATGCTGTGCCATGAAACGACGGAAGGTGTTTCTCGTCTCTTTATCCTTTGACAAATTAAACGGAAAACTGCCCTTGTTATCTGAGGCAGCCGGATCACAACCACGTTCTAGCAGAAACCTATTCAAAAGTAAAGGATTGTGGTGGGATGGAAGCAGAAAAATTAATGAAGAAAGCAGGCATCCCCATTCTCTAGTATGTAGCAATAAAGAGAAAAAGGTTTTTGATGAGTATATCACTATATGATTTACTATCACTATATGATTGTACTAGCTGTTTCTATGTTGCATTCTTTTTATCAGCATCACTATTATTATCTTTTCTTTCCAATTACTTTTTTGCTTTAGTGCTCTTTCTCTCTCTCTCTCTCTCTCTCTCTCTCTCTCTCTCTCTCTCTCTCTCTCTCTCTCTCTCTCTCTCTCTCTCTCTCTCTCTCTCTCTCTCTCTCTCTCTGCCTTACCACAACATATCTTTGTGTCCGCTTTCTGCTGCTATGTGCAACATAGTTCGGTCTTTCTTGCCAAAAGTGATGAGTGACAGATCAGATGGAATCTGCACATTTTGGAGAGAGTTCATCAGTGCTTTGTTTTGTGCATTTCCTGTTGAAGGAAAATAATGGAATTATACATTTATTTCAGAAGTTTGCAAATAAAATGCTGTGGTTTCAATATACACTTTCAATAAGAATAAAAATCCCAATCATTCCAACATTTGCCTTTCTTTAATAACAATAAATGTAATAATTTCTTTTTGTTTGGGAATGAACACCAAAGTAACTTTGGAATGTACTTCATTACTATTATCTTTCCCTGGCATGCTTTAGACAGAGTAAAAATACATCTTCATAGAAATCCAACCACAAGACATTAATCAAACTCAAGGCTTTAACCATAAATCAGAAGACAGAATGTGAACTTCAATTTCCCTTAATTTTAACAAAACCATCATTGTTATGGTTGTGACAGAGACTAGTCCCTTACCCTTGTGACTTGAAGGTGAGGAAAATTTTAGTGCTATCTCCAGCCGGTCCTTGTTGCCTGTCCTGCATGAGGTATATATCTCATTCCAAACTACTTCTTTGTGTTTCGAATCTGAAATGTAGTGATTGAAAAATATAATTGAATAGATGAAATAAGATTGAACTGCAAAAACACAATAAACTGGTGATCAATTGCTATAGGATGTTATACATAACAGCTCTCCCTCCTCCTTTGCCTCTGCACCACCCTTCTCTCCTCTTGCCTCTCTCTCTCTCTCTCTCTCTCTCTCTCTCTCTCTCTCTCTCTCTCTCTCTCTCTCTCTCTCTCTCTCTCTCTCTCTCTCTCTCTCTCTCTCTTCCCTCCCTCCCTCCCTCCCTCCCTCCCTCCCTCCCTCCCTCCCTCCCTCCCTCCCTCCCTCCCTCCCTCCCTCCCTCCCTCCCTCCCTCCCTCCCTCCCTCCCTTTCTTTCTCCCTCCCTTTCTTTCTCCCTCCCCTTCTCCCTCCCTTTCTCCCTCCCTTTCTCCCTCCCTTTCTCCCTCCCTTTCTCCCTCCCACCCTCCCTCCCTCCCACCCTCCCTCCCTCCCACCCTCCCTCCCTCCCACCCTCCCTCCCTCCCACCCTCCCTCCCTCCCACCCTCCCTCCCTCCCACCCTCCCTCCCTCCCACCCTCCCTCCCTCCCACCCTCCCTCCCTCCCACCCTCCCTCCCTCCCACCCTCCCTCCCTCCCTCCCTCCCACCCTCCCTCCCTCCCACCCTCCCTCCCTCCCACCCTCCCTCCCTCCCACCCTCCCTCCCTCCCACCCTCCCTCCCTCCCACCCTCCCACCCTCCCTCCCTCCCACCCTCCCTTTGCCCCTCCATATTTATTTTCCTCCCTCTGTTCCTTCCTACTCACTCCCCTCCCTCCCTCCCTCCTTACCTATTTCCCTCCCTTCCTCCTCCCTCCCTCCCTCCCACCTTACCTATTTCCCTCCCTCCCCACCTATTTCCTCAAAACCCAAAATGATTTAAAAATGACAAAACTCACGCTCTTTAGACTTTTTTGGCTGCTCTCTTTCTTTTCTTTCTAACTCTCTCAGCGTCTTTGGGTCAAACGAACAGTCCTTTCCTCCCCCTATGTCCCTCATGCAGAAGGACATCATGGTCGTGGTCATCTCCATCTCGTCTTCATCGTCGACGAGAGACTCACTGGAAGATGAGCACGGTTCTGGTAACTCGTTTCTTCTCTCGCTCTTGGGCTTCCTCGCTTCCTTTCTTGGACTTGCTTCCTTCTTGGGGCTCGCCTCCTTTTTCTTTTTAGTGACAGGTTTGACCTCCCCTACGAGCGAGTCCCTGACCATTGTCTTAAATTCATCCTCAGTCCCTGTTGATGAAAGCCATAAAATCAGGTCATGACAAACAGTTTGTATATATTGCATGTTATTGAAACTTTTGCTAGTGACTGTAATAATATAATACATTTTAAAAATTACTTTATTTGGTCTATTGTAAATGTAAGCCAGACTATTTCCACAGCACAATTACAAATACTGAAATAGCAGAAACACCTCATGAAGAAACACACTCACTGAGTCTAAGCTCAAAGGAAGCAAACCTATACTAACTCGTGATGCAAAAGAGCAAAGCATTGACTTCACTTATTATTTGCAGCTCTTGCTTCTGCTTACCATGAATGAGAATTTCGAAAAGCATCCCATACACTCTCTTGACTTCAGAGAACTTTGCTCTCTTTGTGGGGAAAGGAATGGTCCTCAGTCGATCATCCTTTGCATTGAGGATTGGTTTCTTGCCACTGAAAAGCGTTTTGCGGTTGTGCTTCTTGGCGTGGAAGAAAATGAGGTCACATTTCTCAAGGTGGGTTTTCCAAGATTCCATCAGCTCTTGGATGTGCTGCAGAAGAGAGAAAGTGTGTAAGCATATTATTTTACTTTCATTTAAACTGATAAAGATATATATAAACAAATACATTTCATTCACCTTGAAATACCTAAGAATCTTGGCTGTTG